ACGCCGGCATATGCATTAAGGCCCCCACACTACCCACTCACCGTCGAAAGGGTGAATGCCAACCACAATGAGATGACGGCCTATCAAGAGATAGAGGCACATCTGCAAGAAGGAAAGCCGGCCACTGGACACGAAACTTGCGGCGGCACAACAAGAGGAGGTCCCCACAGTGATACCGGTCAGAGTGACGATGGCCTGTCGAAAAACAGAGGCACGTCCAGAAGGAGAAAAGCCGGCCGCAGCGAACAGGAAACCTGAGCCGGTGGGCTTACGAGAGGTACCCATATACGACGCCGAAGTAATGCCGGTCGGAGAACCGAAGTAGAAAAGGCGTAGGGACCGAAAGAAGCGGAATATTAAGAATTCGACGCGGGAAGAGAGTGGACCCCAGAATAAGTTGGCTGCCCCCTGCAGGAAGACATCCCATCGCGCGAGAGTGGCACGACGTTGGAGAAATGACTTCAAGAAGGAAACTCCCCAGGGAACCTTCGGATGCCGGAGAGAGGACTTGGCGCCACGGTCTCGTGCCAGCAAGCGGCTGGATGACCAGGAGGAACGACGAAGCCGGCAAGGACGAACAATGCATCAAGGGCTGTTACGTCGACATGAGGAACCTCTGAAGACAAACTTGATCAAGGACTGGACCTTGTGGAGGGGACGACAGCCTCCAAAACGAAAAAGACCTCAAGCAGAGGAGGAACCGGTGATGTAGACGAACCGGCCTCCCCAGAGAGAATGAGTGTGCCATAGAATGGAAGTAATGGATGAATGAGACACAATTGGGTCTTCTGGAGAACTGGAAGGAAACCGCTCGAGACGAGCAAGCCTAAAAGAGGGGAGCGGTTGTAACAGCCGGAGAACAATCACTACCAGAACAGCCTCCGAATCAAAGGAACGGAGATGCACCGTTAGGCTATTCGGGACGAACAGCCTTAAGGAGGGAGCAGTGTGACATGTTGCGCTAAGGAGAACCACCCCCCACCAGCAGTGACGCGGCGGGTGAGTCAGCGCTCCCCTCCCCCTCCTCCGCACGGTAACGAGGGGATCCCTCCCACCCCTCCGCGGTGACGTAACGCGAAACGCTAACGTACCCGTAATCAACTTCCTACTGTGACGTGGCACTCATTACGCAACAGGCACCAATGCGGATATATAAGAAACTGCACAGCAACTAGGAGCCAGTTCTAGTGTGGCTACCGCAGAGTTGTACGGTGACAGCCGCCGAGTTATAATGTGGACATCGCTGAGTTAATTAGTCAACGAGCGAGTGCGTTATCAACAGTTCTCCAGTCAGCCGACTACCATTGGAGTATAGCAGCCGTCGCGGAAAGAAGAACCGGACGTGTGTGTAATTGTGTAATTGGGAGTGTGTGTGATACAGTAATACCTAGCTCCCCGACTCTAAACGTGTAGCCTACTGAAGGCAGACTGAACTGATTTGCGCATAGGGCTATAAATCGTGAAACCCAGCAACAGTGTTAACAGATTAAGGCGATTAGGGTTATAAAGTGTGAAACCCCGCAACTGTGAGATAATTAATTGTAGCCGTTATTTGAAGATTGTTAGATAAACACAATTAACCATCTCTACGGCGTCTTCAGTAACGTAAACACGTTACATTGGTGTCAGAAGTGGGATACGAACTTACACACGTGACCGACGAGATTTGAACTTACACACGTGACCGACGAAATTCGATCTCAAGACACGTGACATTTGGTGTCAGAATTTATTCGAACTTAAACACGCCTGACAAACAATTGGATTATTGGAGGGGGCGAAGCTCGGTAATTTACAATAATGTTAGGTTGTGAGTGTACATTATGATAGGTGTGCGCAAATGAATACTAAGCATAATTATGGTCAGTTCAGCACGGTTTAGCCCTCTTCAATATCTTACGATCGAATGTCTCTTATAGCGTATGAAATCATTATTTATTCATATGGGACATTTTATTTCCGAATTTTCTCACATGACAAACTCTTCCATATATTTTTCTGTTACTCTAACTACGTAAGCTATGTAACATGGGATATATTTCCTTTATTATAATGGTCGTAAATGCATTTTTTCCGAAATATTGACATTGCGGAACGATCCCAAGTGAATGATATCACAATTATCTTGAATGACTCTTACAATTTCCAACAGTTTCCGAAATATTCTCTTATCAAATGTTTCCATTATTAACTTTATTACGTTTTTCGACATATGTCAAGGATATACATCTACTC